TTTGGGTATCCCTGAGAAGGAGGGCAGGGCTGCCCTGGTAGTCCCCAACCTCAAGAGACGGCCCAGGCTGCTCACCCCCCTAGCACCATCTAGTTGGCACAGAACAGGGTCCTAAGAAAGAGTAGGTTTGGGGATAGCCAGGGTCTCTCCAGTGGGGGATGGGAACAAAGGCCCCGGTATAGAAGTGTGGATTACGATGGACAGAGAGAATTGGAACTCAGAAGGGGCCTAACTGGGGTGGGGGAGAAGAGGAAGCTGAGGGCAACTCCTGAGCACAGGGTGGGCTGGGGAGTTCCTAGCAGAGTAAGTGACTCTGCAGAGGCTGCGGAGGGAGGGCCAGATGGAAAGGCCCAGCCTGGGAGCCAGATGGAGATGGTAGGTGCCCACCCCATGAACACACCAAACACTGCAGACCTCACTCACTGTGGCTTGTTATCTACGTGAATTTCACCTCCATTAGAGAGAAGAAAGCTCCCGCTCAAGTCAGTCTCAGCCTTTCCGGCCCAGGGCCTACCATCCAGGCCCAGCATCCCTGCAGCACAGCGTCGCCTCCGGCACCCTTGGCTTGGGGGGGGGGGCTGGTGGGCAGCTCCTGTCACAAGCCCCTCACCCCCGTGTGCTCTTTTCCTCCTGGGCCCATCCCATGAGCAGGAGTGGCTTTCTCAGCCAGTCTCGCAAAGTGCAGGCTGCTAAGTAAAGTTTTGCGCAGGCATTTATGATCCTTGGACATAACTCAGGATGCCAGCAGCTACCCTGTCCTGACAGATCCCAGACAGCTTCAGGTCGTCGCTGGGACTGTTAGTGGGGTAACCCTCCACAGGGTAGTCCCTGTGAAGGTGGTAAGGAGTGTGGGGACCCCAAGTCAGAAGTCTACCCCTGCCCCATGAACTGCCCTTTATACCATGGAAACTCCTTCTTCCCAGGAGACAGAGTTCTCGCCACCTCTGTGTCCTGCCTTCTGTACAGCAGCTGAGGTGAAAGCAAGAGAGGGGCAGGGAAGTCCTCTGGCTGTCCTACCTGTTCAGCTGCCCCTGGGGTGGGAGTGAAGGGACTCTGGCTCCAGGGGCTCTCTGGGCAGGACTTGCTGAGGGAGGCTCGGTCCCCCTGCTGCTGTCTGCTCTCAGCCCCGTGCCTTGGCCCTGGCCCTGGGTCTAGGGCTTCAGAATGCTCTGACCAGATCAGCACTGCCCAGCACCCTGGGTTCCTGGCCTGCTGCTTCCCTTTTTGCTCACCGAGCACCCCTAGCTACTCTGAGGACAGAGAGGAGAGCCAGAACTCAGGGTGGCAAGAGGGGAGTCCATCTCCCTGTCAGAGAGGGCCCAGCAGCCCTAGGCAGCCTCAGCAAACAGGGCCAGTAATAAGGTAGTGGACGAAGAGGGAACCTGTATTCCTGAGGTTTGGGTCAGGGATGCCAGCTAGCTTTTCTTTCTTTCTTTCTTTCTTTTTTTTTTTTTTTTTTTGAGGCAGAGCCTCAAGCTGTCCCCCTGGGTAGAGTGCTATGGCTTCACTGCTCACAGCAACCTCCAACTCCTGGGCTCAAGCGAGTCTCCTGCCTCAGCCTCCCAAGTAGCTGGGACTGCAGACGCCTGCCACAACGCCTGGCCATTTTTTGGTTCCAGCCATCACTGTTGTTTGGCAGGTCCAGGCTGGGGATTTGAACCTGTCACCTTAGGTGTATGTGGCTGGCGCCTTAGCTGCTTGAGCCACAGGCACCGAGCCTAGCTTTTCTTTCTTTCCTTTTTTTTTTGAGACAGAGTCTCACTATGTCACTTTTGGTAGAGTGCCGTGGCAACACACCTCACAGCAACCTCCAACTCTTGGGCTTAAGCGATTCTCTTGCCTTAGCCTCCCAAGTAGCTGGGACTCCAGCTATTTTTTTATTGCAGTTGTCATTATTGTTTTAGCTGGCCTGGCTGGGTTTGAACCTGCCAGCCTCGGTGTATGTGGCTGGTGCTATATCCACTGTGCTATGGGCTCTGAGCCTAAAAGTCTTTGTTTGTTTGTTTGTTTTTTTTTGGTCACTCTCGATAGAGTGCATGACGTCATAACTCACAGCAACTCCAAACTCTTTGGTTCAAATGATCCTCTTGCCTCAGCCTCCCAAGTGGCTGGGACTACAGGTGCCTGCTATAATGCCTCGCTATTTTTTGGAGATGGGGGTCTCACTCTGTCTCAGGTTGGTCTCGAACCTGTAAACTCAGGCAATCCACCTGCCTCAGCCTCCCAAGTGCTGGGATTACAGGTGTGAGCCACCACACCCAGCCTTCAGCTGGCTTTTTTATATGAGAGGTCAGGGAAAGCCTTATGAGCCAGGGTCATCTGAGAGGAGACCCCAAGGAAGTGAGACCCCATAGCAAGCCTGGAAGGCTCCACAGCAAGCCTGGAAGACTTTAGAGAAGGTACAGCTAGCAGGATAGCAGGTGCAAAGGCCCCAGGACAGAAGCGTCAGCACTGGGGATGGGGGGAAGCCAGGCCATGGCCACTAACACCTGGGCTTGTGTTCTGTGGGAGAAGTGAGATGGGGAGACAGTAGAGGTGTGTGATATGTTCAGGAGCAACCCGGTACTGCTGTGCAGTGATAGACTGGAGCAGGGGGAGCAGGGGCTGCAGCAATCGCCTATAGGGAAATAGGTTTGGGACCAGGAGGGCAGCAGTGACGAGACTTTAATGCAGAGCTATCAGGAGTGGGGACAGATGAGACGTGGGGTGTTAGACTAAGGTGGGTGTCATCACTGCACAGCCATGGCAACAGCACCTGGCAGGCCACTGGAGGCAAATGTCCAGGGAAGGACAGCCAGGTGGCCAGGCCAACAGGTTTGTTCTCTTTGCTTAGCTCCTGAGAGCACCCCTGAAACGCCACTTCTGTGGTCACCAATTTGTTTGTAGAAGTCCTGGTGACTTCTCCTTCCTCACAGCCCCAACCTTCCTGAATGAGAGCTCAGCACCAGATCGCAGCTTCTTCCCTGAGCTGGAAACCATTTGAGGTGCTGCAGTGCTGATCAGACCCCTCGGATGGGACCCTGACCACCACACCTGCACAGCAGCCAGCAGCATGCTACTTACAGCGTCTCAGGAAACATACCAAGCAAAGGTAAGAGGGAGCAGCAGAGGGTGAAACTCCCACACCCTGGCTTCAAGTCTCCCTCTGAAGATTCCCTACCGGGGAACCCTGAGAAAGTGAGCCCCAAGCTAAGCTGTCAAACAGGAGTAAAAAGAGCTAACCCCATGGGGCTGGTGTGAAAATTAAATTAGGTAGTATGTGCACATTTGAGACATGTAATTCATGTGGCTGGAATTTAGTGTTTACATTTAGCATGTGCTGGTGTATACACACATGGAAAATGCTCCAAGCTCTGGAACCCTTGGAGAATAGGTTTCTGGAGCCCTGATGCCTGGAGGAGCAATGACCTGAAGTGATCGGTCCAGGGCACTCCTGCACCAGTAGGGTAGGCCCCCTCACAGAGCCAGCATCCTAGGCCCTGGGGGAGGTGTGCAGGCAGAGGTCTTACCTACTTGGAGTGGGCTGGAACCCTATCCCACACTTCTGCCAGCTTAGAGGCCCCCACCTCTAGCCCAGAGCCTTCTGCTTATACCTGTGCTAAGCAGGTGGCACTACTGTGTCTCTGCTGGCTTTCCAGGTGTTCCTCTCACCTTGCCTGTTGTGGGCCAGGACCATATGCCACGTGACCACACGCTAAACCACAGATGACCCAGTGTCTCCAGCCTGTAGTGTCCTCCCTGCCTGAACACATCCGACAGTCCCGCAGGCTTATAAGAGGCAGTGGCTAGGGTAGGGATGTCAGACTTGGGGTGAGTTAGGACTAAGTGGGGTTCTTTGGGGAGCCCCACTTTACTCACCCCCATCTCTAGGACAAGCCAGGGACTGAGTGTTCCTCTCAGACCACCTCCCACCGCCTCCTGCCTCCTCCTTTTGGGGCCTCAGATTGGTGTGGTGTTTGCTGACAGCAGGGAAGAGATGTACAGAACCTAAAGTTGGGGTCAATGGTCAGTCTATGACTAAGGTTGGGGTGATACTTACTTGGACAAACTTCCGATTGTCCTATGGATGACCTTGGCTACTGTGCCAACAGGGCTTTAGCCCCAGGCCTGATCCCCAAGGGGCTCAAAGTGTGCTCTGGAAAGGTGGGGGCAGCTTGCGCTTCATGTAACCCCTCCTCCCAGTGACCTTGCTCAGGGTCACTGCAGTGGTGACACTACCCTTTTTCCACAAGGACCCGGTGCACTCTGATAGGGAGGCCGCTCTGGTTCTGGAGGTCTACTTTGCCTGTTCCGCCCCGGGTGGGGAGGGGATGCCGAGGTCTGTGGGTCCTTCTCGTGTTTGGCCGCTTTTATTTCTATGCACTTGTTTTAAAACTGCACTTTTGTCCACAGGAGCACGGCCAGAAGGACTGGTAGTGCGTCCAGATCACGCCAGGCCTGAATGCAATCCCAGGCCGCGTCCAAGCAGCTCGCAGATTGCGGCGGCGGGCAGGAGGCGCCAGCGCCCCGGGATGGTTGGACCAGGGCGCTCCCGCACCCGCGCCTTCCTGGCCGGCCGCGCGTCCATGGTGGCTGCGGGTCATGCCGCGCCCTGCCCCGCCCGCAGCTGCATCCACAGGCTGCGCGGTGCAAACGCGGCCACTGCGGGGAGGGGGCGCTCCAGGGACGGGGGTGGTGGGTTCTCTTCGGCTTAGCAAGCCCGGTCCCTCCCCTGCCCCGCGGCCGAGCCCGGCCCTCTGCGTTGCCGCGCGCACCTGCCGCCCGGTTCCCGGCGCAGGATCGGACGCCCGCGGCTCCAGAAGGAGGGCGCCCGGCCGAGGAACTGCCGCCACCCTTTCCCCTAGGGGAGTCCTCCGCTCCCCGGCCCCGGACGCCCACCTGGCGGCGAAGGAGCGCGCGTACGGCCGGCGCGCTGTCCCTTTAAACATCCCGCGGGCACCTCCCCCGCCGCCGCCCCGCCCCCGCCGCGGTGCGGCCGCTTGTGCTGGGCGAGGTCGGAGAAAGTCCATGGGAGCCGGAGCGCTGGGACGCCGGAGCACTTCCTGCCGCGGGCGGCGCGCCGCAGCTGCCCAGGCCGGACCGGGCCGGGCGCCCGCAGGTACGGCTAACTTGACGCGCGCGCCGCCGGGCGGGGTCGTCCCCG